GTCGTCGATTATTTATGTAATAATTTATTAATCGATCATCAACATTATTATCATCAGTTTGTTGTGATAAAATTTCAAAAATTTCTTCCGATTTTAAATGTAATTTTTGTTGAATTTTCGGATCAAATTCATCAAAATTTATATTATGTTCATATATTCCATAATCAAAACGTTCTAATATTATTGCTATTTGGTTTTTTATATCATTTAATGATTTTTTATCCGATGAAATTAATTTATTTTCCAATAAATCTTTTAAATAAAATTCAATACGATCACCTTGATTATGACTAATCGATAGCGAAGTTATCGATAAATGATTATTATTATTATGGAAAAATTTATCAATTTGTCGTCGATGACAAAATTTAATCGTTGAAATTGATAATTTTCGAAACATTTTTTTTCAAAACAAAAACAAAACAACAGCAAATGAAAATTCAAAAAATTCACATGTTCGATCATACATAGGTGAAAATAGTCGATTCGAATGAATAGAAATCGTCAACAATAGATGGCAGTTAAGAAGCGGTAGTGAGTAAAACATTCGAAACATTCGAAATCCATATTTTCAACAATGGAAAAAAATGACGAATAAAAAAATCAACCGAAAAAACCCGAATATTCAATTCAAAATCACAATCATCATCATCTGAATCTGAATTACCGAACAGGAAAGAAAACGAAAACAACAATCGAAACAACGACGAACAAAGAAAACATCTGTTTACATTCCCATTCGAACGAACGAACGAACAAAGTGACTTGAACACCGATGATGATGATGATGATTATATTGATATGTATCAAGTGTCAAAAAAAAAATATGAAAAATATCTTGATGGTTATATCGATAATAGAATAACAAGAAAGAAAAAAAAAGTATCATATCCTCATCCTCATCATTCATAATGTTTATAGTAACAAGTAGCAAGCAAAAAGGAAAAAAATCCATATTTTTTGAAAAATTGTTGTCATTATTGTTACGTTGTTTCAAGTGTTTCAAGTTTTTTTTTCATTTTTTGTTTTTTCTATAGATTCGACAATTGTGAATTGTATCCTGAAACATGTGCATTGCTTCACACATCAACAACAACAACAACAACAACGATGATGATGATCAAAAGGTTTTTTATTTTCAAAAACAAAAAACATCAGAATCGAATCGAATCGAATGTTGTTGTCGCTGATCAAGTAATTCATTAATCATAATCATCATCATCATTATCAAACAAAGAATTTTTGTTTTGTTTGTTGTTTTCAATGATAATTTGTCATCGAATTTGTTGGCAACAAAGAAGATAACGGCTTTTGTTTTTCTGAATTTTCTTGTCGAATGTTTTTGTCATTATCATCATAATCATCATCGTAGGGTCCATCCGAACATCAACAAAATGTCAATCGCGATCGGTCAAAAGCAAGAAAAATTTATGGATGATTTCTACATAAACACAAACTCAAACGACAATCATCATCATCATTTTCCAATGATATCGATTCCTCTGGAGAGCTTCCCGAAAAACGAAACCACCGAAATTGTTTTTTCTCGATCATCATATAATAACGAAACAAAAAAGTGTCAAATGTCAAATGTGTGTTGTGTTGAGATCATAAATGTCACCGAAATATATCAATATGGTGTGTTTTGTTACCACCCAGACAATGATGATGATGATGATGAAAAAATATATTTACTGGAAAATGAACCAAAAGCTCGATGATGATAGAATCGACGACAACAAAATATACGACATGTCATCATCATAATATTCATAATAATTTTAACAAACAAGATGTGACGACGACCCACAAGAGACTTTAAAAAAAATGGAATGAAAGAAATGTTAGTGAAAGGTCATGTCACGTTTCGTTGATTTTTGATTTCCGAAATTCTTTTCGTATTGTAAAATCATCATTATCATCATCATTTTCGATTGAAAAGTGTGTATTTTTTTTTCTTCTTCTGATGATGATGATGACATAATTATCGATTCATTCATAAAACACACACATAGTGAAATTTTTCTTAATTTTTTATTTATATTTTGATAGTTATTATATGTATAGCTACAGAATTTTTTCAGTTTTTTTCGTTTCAATGATACAATGATTTTATCATCATTTGAAATTATTATCATCAAATTTCAATCAAAAAAAAGAAAATGGACGTAAAGATAGCAAGAGAGATATATAAAGGATTAGAATGTAGGAAACAAAAAGGGTCAATAAGGTAGAAATAGAATTCGATGATGATGATTTGGGCCATTTGAAAAGATTTTATCATGTTTGATGATGATGATGATAATGATAATGACGACTATTTCAACTCAACCAACCAAAAAAAGATAATTTTTTTTTGAATTTAATTAACATCAACATTTAATGATTTTGATTCATTCAAATTAATCGATGATAATCGTGATGATGATGTTGTTGTTGATGTTGCTGTTATTGTCGATGTTGACGATGTTGTTGTTGCTGTTTTTGTTGATGATGATGATAATGAACCATCACCATTATCAAATTCATCATCATTATTATTATTATTATATGAGCTATCATTATTTTTATTTAATCGATTTAAAAATCGATTATTATTATTTGTCGTCGTTATCAAATGATGATGATGCGAATGATGTTGACCACCAATTGGTGATGATGATGACGATGATGATGATGATGATGATGATAATCTTGGTGGTGATGATAATTTATTCGAACTATTAGTTTTTGTTGAATAATTTCGATGATTATTTAATGTCGTTGATGATAATGGTGGTGGTGGTTGTTGTTGGGGGGATGAAGGTTGTGATGTACCATTATCACCACCACTAATACCTAAACGATGTTGTTGATAAACAATTGCAGCAGCTGAAAATGATGGTGGTGGTGGTGGTGGGGATGTTGATGATGGATAAAGACCAGAAGTTATTGATCCATTATCGATTATATTTGTTCCTAGTAATGTTGTTGTTGTTGGTGTTGTTGTTGAATCGGATGTTGATTCATCATTTCCAATAATATGACCAATACTATTTCCACCTAATGATGATGTTGTTGATGATGTTAATGTTGACCATGGAAATGTATTTTTAGCTGCAACTGCTGCTACTGCTGCCGCTGCAGCATGATGTTTAGCTGCTGCTGCTGCTGTTGTCCAACCATTTGCATATGCAGATTGATAACCACTATATAATGATGATGGATCATGATGTTGATGATGATGATGTGAATGTGGATGCGGATGATGATCTAATGTTGGAATCAATCCATTAAAACTAGCTGCTGCTGCTGCGGCTGTTGAAAAATTTGTTGCAGCCGATGCTTGTCGTAATTGTTCAGCGGCTACATTACGTTCACGTTTACGCCATTTTGCACGACGATTTTTAAACCATACCTTTTTTTTTAAAAAAAATCGCAAATCAAAAAAAAAACAAAACATTATTATTAGTCATCATCATCATCATAAATTTTTAATTTTCTTTTCGTAAAAATTCTCATTAACATCATCAAAATCATAATTAATGTTCTGCTGGTGCACATCATCATCATATGAATTTTTAATTAAGGTAACAAAAAAATTCTCATTAGCAATGAGTAACCAAACATAGGAAAAACATAATGACTTTTTTCTAGCAACTATTTCCACACAATGATGATTAGTATTGTCTGGAAATAGACAATTTGATTGTGAATTTTGAAAGATTTTTCTGTTTTCTGATGAATATTTTCTTTTCATTGACATTAATCGAAGCTGAAAATTTGTCAAAATGATCAAACGGAACATTCGTTGAACAGATACAAAAGCGAAAATAAAGATTAGATAATGCAGCTTTAATGGGTTTTTTTTCAGAGATAAACTTATTCGCGATTTGGATCCGTCAACAAAAAAAAAAGGTCACGTGTGTGTGTCCATCATTGGTGTTAGATCGGTGTGTGTGTTCTGTCAATCTTTTTTTTGTTTTGAATTTTTTCGATACGAAAAATTTGTTCAGGAGGCAATTGTTGTTTGAACGAGGTGATTTGTTTTGCTGGTTGAATGTTTTGTTTGGCTTATCTTGATCTTGATAGTGAAGTGTTGAAAAACATGGCAAATTCAAATTTGAAAATCTAATTATAACGTGTTAACTGAACACTTTTTTTTCTGATTCAAAATGCAAAGATAAAAATCATTTTTGTTCATTTCGTTTCGTTTTTCCTGATTTAAAATTTGAAATGAATTTTAAATGTAAATTAACATTTGTTTTCCAACCAAAACAACAACAACAAAAATCCGATCAATTTTGACCAACACCAACAGTTTCTCAATCGATGATCATCATCGATTCAATGTATTCCCAAATCGTTATTTATTTATTTATTTAGATTCTGTCGATGTTGGTGTTATGTTAATCGATCACGAAAATGTTTCAATGATGATGATGATGATGATGGTCAACGATTGATTGATTGATCGATCAAAATAAATTCTTTTCCAAAAATGGACTTTTGGTTCAATTCAACCAATTTCATCATCATGATGATGATCGGGTTGCACGCAAAAACTTTTCGAAAGATTTTCGTGAAGCACATTGACATTTTCTCTGATTTTTTTGGTTTTGGGCGCGGGTATGTTTCTCTCTGGCTTTCGGTGCGTGTGCAAAAAAAAACAAAGTTGACTGACTCATTTTCATCCAGTCGAAAAAAATCCAAAATGAAAATTTTGGTTTTTGGTGTGATGATGATGATCATTTTTCTAATTAACTTTATTAAATGAATAAATGAAAAACAAGAGTGAAAAACACTGATTTACACTTGCAAGTTAAATGAATTGAATGTTACTGGATCATGGTTGACTCATCACATGATACAGATTCGTGGGTCATTCATTCATTCATTCATTCATTCTTTCCAATAGGAAAATGAAAAATCAAATGATTTCCAATCAAAAAATGTCATTCGACAAAAATATATTTAAAGGAATCTCTCTTTTTTTGCCAATATTTGAATCAATATTTGAGCTGTTTTTCTACTATTAACACGGCCGCCGCCGCCGCCACCAACAGCGGTTAATATTATCATCATCATCATTCCAGGATGATGATGATGGAACACATATCACACACTATGCATATTGAATTTTTGCACGAGCGGTGATGCTTTTTTTGATTTTTGATTTTCGGTTTTCATTTTGAATCCAGCAAAAAAAAAAAAAAAAAAAAAAACACCGGGGGGCCATTTAATTAAACCAACCAGCGAAACAAACCAAACACACACCCCAACTATT